AACTAGGCAAGGGGTTATCAGGAATTCTTATACTAGCTTTGCAATTGAGTCATTCTAAGCTTCTAATATGTTACTCTAAAACAATACTAAAGTTATCCCAACTTCTAACCACACTTGTTAGCAAGCACACGTTTCATGTTGACTCCGGCTCCATTATCAAGAGATACAGAGCATCCCATGAGCCGGCAGCAAGTATACTACCCTTTCCGGAGGAGGAAAGTGTTGTCAAGAGATGAGCAGAGGGTTTTAGAGGAAGACTTTCATCTGCTATGGATGTTCCTAGCCAGAGGTTCCACCAAGCCAACAGGTAAACATACTTACAATTCTCAAGCAATAAGGCATAAAGACAGGCTCATGAGTACTGGGTTCTGCTGGTCTGTTGTTCTACTCCTACATACCACTGAGAAATACACACAAAAATGGAGCCTCTACTCTTGAGGAAGCGAACCGGGCTGCGAACCGCAAGGTCAGCAGTTCAAAACTACCAGCTATTTCGCAGGAGAAAGAGGAGGCTTTCTGGTCCCGTAGAGATTTACAGCCTCGGAAACTCTGTACAGCGTCTCTATGAGTCGGAACTGACACCACGGCACATAGCTACAACAACCACCACTGCTACAAGAACACTACAAAACAAACTGCCTCAAAACTTAGTGGCTTAAAACAACTATCACTTATCACTTCTCATGAGTATTCAGGGTGGCTGGACGATTCTTCCTATCTGGCTCTGCTGATCTTACCCGGACTTACTCCTAGGTCTGGCAGGTGGGCTGAACAGACTCTCGCGCAAGTAGTTTCTCATTCTCCAAGAGACTAATCCAAGCTTGTTCTCACCACAATGCGAGGGTTCCAAGGAAGAGAACAAAGCTTCCAGGCTTGGAACAGGCACAATGTCACTGCCACCACATTCTGTTAGTCAAAGTAAGTTACATGGCTAGCCCAGGATCTAAGGGTAGGGAAATGACTCAAAACTCTTTTAAGGTAAACAACTTAGGCTCGGTCAAATAAAGTGACCTTTGACCGTGTCTGTGAAGAACTAACCCTTGGAGTAAGTGGGTTCACACCTGAGGATTTTTGCTGACCTGTGGGGGAAGGTCAAATCAGAAAAGTCTCACCTGGGAGCCTGAAATCAACCAGCCTATTGGGAGGCATGAGTTAGCCTTTCATAAAGGACTGGCCAGAAAAGAGCCCTGCACACAAGGTTCAGAATGCCTCCTGGGCATTAAGATCACCTTTTCTCAAAAGGGTAGACCATCCCCTTGAAACATGGAAGCTCCATTCTGGGAACCCTACCAAATCTCACTCTATGTGCCTTTTCATTTGTGTCCTTTTAAGGTGCAATAAATCCATAGTGGTGGCGGCGGTAGTGGTGTGCTGTGGACTTGGTTCCGACTCATCGTGACCCTGTACAGGGTTTCCAAGGCTGTAAATCTAATGGGAAGCAGAAAGCCTCATCTTTCTCCCAGGGAACAGCTGGTAGTTTTGAACTGCTGACCTTGAGGTTCACAGCCTGATTCGTAACCACTACACTACCAGAGCTCCTTGCAATAAATCTTTAGTTGTAATAAATTTTTTCTTTTCAGAAAAATGGTTTCAAAAAATAATGCTGTAATTGAACATTTATTTTAAAAGATATCACCAGAGGCAGGATGCAGGTAAATATACTTTAAGTTCCACAAATGATTTGTGTAACGACATTGTAAAATTTCTGATAGCAAGATACCCTATGTAAACTAAAACCTATGAAAGGTCTAAATATCTTCTTCTGAGGCCATAATGAATCCCTACCCCAAATGAAAATAGTAAATTAAGGTTACTGTCAGCATCTTAGTATTTGGATACTGACACCTAGAAGCAAAAATAATTTCCAATTTGTTATTGAAGTGTCAGTATCTATTTCAGTGATTCAAACCCTTGGAAAAGTGCTTGATTTAGATGATGCCTCTCATACTGATTGATATACTTTTAGTAATTGTCTTCAATCAGCAGTTAAACCTGGTATAGTCATTTGATTGTTCCAGTATGTTTCAAAAGAAAGGTAGGCAACTTAATTGCTTAATCTAAATGTTCCATATGTGTCTCATATTCATTATGTATAAATGTGAAATGTATGTTATTTTTGAAAATCACTATATATACAAAAGTTCAAGAACAAACGATATAAAATTTCATATACTTTATAAAAATCAACGTACTTTTCTAAGCTACTTATCTTACTGTTGTTGTTATTAAGTACCATTGAGTCAACTGGGACTCATAATGACCCTGTATAGGGTTTCCAAGAGTAGCTGGTAGGTTTGAACTGCTGACCTTGCGGCTAGCAGTCCAGTGCTTATCCTACAGTGCCACACTTGCGTTAGGGAAACTATTACAACCATCTGGTTCAGGTCTGGGTTGAATTTGTAGTTGTTGTAGTTAGGTAACTTCGAGCTGGTTCCAGCTCATAGCAACCCTTATGCAAAACACTATCCAATCCTGCAGCACTTTCCCAACTGTTACACTTGAGCCCATTGTCACTACCACTGTGTCAATCCATCTTGTTGGAGCTCTTCTTCTTTTACGCTGACCCTCTATTTTACCAAGCATGGTGTCCTTCTCCAGAGACTGGTTCCTCCTGATAATGAGTCTAAAGTGTGAGAGACAGTGTCTCGCCATCCCAGCTTCTAAGGAGCACTCTGGCTTTACTTCTTCCAACACAGATCTGGTTGTTCTTCTGGCAGTCCATGGTACCTTCAATGTTCTCCTCCAACACCATAACTCCAACGCAACAATTCTTGTGTGGTCTTCCTTAATCACTGTTCATCTTTCACATGCATAGAAGGCTAGTGAAAATACCATGGCTTGGGTCAGGGGTACCTTAGTTCTCAAACTGACACCTTTGTTCTTAAACACTTTAAAGAGGTCGTGTGCAGCAGACTGCCTAATGCAATGTACTAGGTCAAAAATATTAATAGTTCTGAAGTAGTTTGAAAATTATTTAATATTAAAAGATCAACTAAATTTCTTATACTAAACACTAACACAGTGTTCTGGGAAAATGTAAAAAGAGCATCTTGGAAGCATGTTCAATATGCAAAGTTTTGGAACTGACCCCTGCTGCTCCCCAGATTTAGTAGATCTAAATTGGGGTCCTGGAGTTGCATTTTAAATAGGCCTTGCAGGCAATTATCTGCAGATCACTCAAGGATCACATCTGAGTATGGGTATAAAGTCAAGAACAGTCTTTTGAAGCCAGGTTCAAAGTTTTTGCTGATTTCTGTCGATGGGACACTGCACACACCATTCACTTCAAAACATCACTAAGTCTACTGTCACCCAGTGGATTCTGACTCACAGCAACCAGAGAGGCAAGCGTACAGCTCCCAGCAAAGTCTCTAACACTGGAATCTTTACAGGAGCAGACGTCACATCTTCCCCTGAGGAGCTCTAGTGGTGGGTTAGCAGCCCAATGCTCAACCCACTGTGCCACTAGGATAATTACTGAGTACCCGCTACTAACTACGCACTGAACTTTGTCTATAAAACTGGAAGCTTTTAAAGAATCAAATGAAATAATGTTTGTAAAACACAACATTTCATTAAGCCTCACTGGCCAATCAATGGTTATCAGAATTGATCACATGAAACAACTTCAACGAGAGCAATGACAAAAGGTTAAACTCCATCCTAAGATATAAAAGCTTTACTGCAGTAGTAAAGTCCAATGTACCTTGCTACTAGGAAGCAAAGACCACAACTCTATGGTACTGTCTGGAAACTAACAATCAAAGTGACTTTCCTTTAAAGAAATCCACATTAAAGGTGACTTGGTGTGCTAGGAGGACAACTATAAGAAGCAAAAAAAAAGTTAAGAAAATATTTACACTAGAAATTCGGGCAAGATTTTGCTCTTTTTTTTTCCAAAGCCAAAACTAAATTATGGGATGAGCAATTATCTGGCCTTTCCTGTCAAATCAAACGAAAAGACAACGTTGCACTATTTGCTACTAATGTGAAGAAGGTGCAGTTACGGCTAGCAACCCACTCAGTGTTAGAAAGGCAAGTGTCCACCAGGGTTTGAAATAGAATACACAAAAAATAAGCAAGCAAAAACACTAAAACCAAGCCAACAAACCATAATTTACAACAGAAACACTAAAAATAAATAATAAAAACCCAATCAATTTATAAGTTCTTTTCAAGTTATATATGAGGAGGCTTCAAAAAGTTTTGGGGAAAAATACCATAATCTTTTAATTACAATTTTCCATAAACATTTTGAAGTCCCTATTATTATCACTAACCTAGAATTAGATGATAGTAAACATAAACATGCTTTCCTATTTGTTGGCACCGGAAGTAATCTCTGAATTTATTAAACGTCTTTTGGTAAAATACTAGGCTTAGTAGTAAAATGACATTTGGACTTTGTTTTGAGTTCTGACACTACCAATCCCAGTGTGACCTTAGTCAAGAAGCCAAACAGACTTAATCTTCCATAGCTTCTCTTTATTATGGAGTAATAACAACAACAACAACAACAACACCTAGTCAGCAGCCTGGGATGAACCAAGTAATTTAATGTACATGAGGGACTTAGTAAACCGGTAAACAACATACCAGGTAAAACAAATTATTTTATATCACAATTGATAACCACTGATAATAAAACATTTGATCCTTACACAAAGTTATAAATGGACGCTCACAGGTATATCAAATATCAAATAAATATATACATCATTTAGAGGTTGATGTTCTGAAACCAGAAATGCACTGTAGTTATAAGAAGCAACTATTAAATCACTCTGGAGCAGGGAGAAAAACATAGTTGCAAATCAGTTAGGAAAGAAAAAAGTAGGTTTTGTTTAGTACTACTAAATCAAAGGTAGATAAGAAAAGAAAAATTAGACCACAAAAGTATGTTATTAGAAATTAAAAAAAAAATAAACTTAGATTTCAAACAACTGACTTCAGAAAGATACTTTAATGTCAATAGAGATTTTACTTTTAGAAATACTTACCTGTAAAAATAAGTAATTAGGTAGTACCTTGTCAAATGAAGGGCTGAGATACACCGGTTCTGTCATTCTTATGCCTATTCCTCTGAAAAGTAGGGAATCTAATATTAGGCCATATAAATGATATAATTAAAACTATGAAACTATATCTAACAGCACAGCCAAGTAGCATGTCAAATGGAAACTTTTCTGCCTTTTTAAAACCTCTTTTACCCAACACCAAAATAGTTTAAACATTCCTGTGAATGATTCTGCATTTTCAAGTACAGTATTGAAGGACCATCAGGACATCTAAAAAGGATAAAGTTATATAAATGCTTCATGGTGGCACAAACAAATTTCTTTAGAGATTTCAATAGATCAAAAAAGCAAAACACCTGAGTCTTTATGTTATGACTCGTCCCATGCTTTCTGGTAACATATTTATGATCACTGTGATTAGCCTTTCATTTCAATAAACATTCTGTGCATGCTTCAGTTTTCAAGTGCTCGGCACATGTAGGAAAATGACAAAATGTTTCACCTCATGCTGATGCTAAGTAAGGACAAACATGTTAAACACTGCTCTCCTCTGATCTCTTTACAGAGTAATTGCTGCAGAATAATTGCTAGGTACTGACACAACCATCAGATGATCTTTTACACAGGAGGACCAGACCCAGGATGGCAGGGAAGACAATGATTTATAAAGACAGACAACACAATTGGACAGAGATTATCAGAGACGGGGAAAAGGGAGAAAAAGCATATAAGTACTGTTACAGAAAACTAAGCATGGCCTAGTATATGTGGCCAAACCAGAGGAAGCAAGAAAAGGTGGTGATCAAAGCAGTATTCTTTGGATTAGAAGAGCAGAGGAAAAGCAAACTAATTATAGAGGCAAGATTAAGAATCAGGATTTAGACCAAGGTATATGGGTGCAAGGGAACATGGTGGCTCTGTAGCTATGATAAACACAGGACCACAAGCCATATAAGGTCAGTGGTTCAAGATCACCAGCTGCTCCATGGGAGAAAGATGACATTTTCTGCTGTTGTACAGGTGTACAGCCTATGAGTCAGAGCTGACTCAATACCATTTAACAACAACAACAAACAAGCAAAGAAGAAAGTCCAAGAAGAGAGATCAAGGATAGCGTTTCAGATACAGTATAGCAGACAAGTTCATAGAAATCACAACTAGCTCATGAACTGATCTTGGCAAAGAAACCTCTACACATATGGTTTGTACCTTACTTTGTGTAGGCAGCGTAAATCTATGCTGCTCATGACAGGGCAATCATCTCTGTAGATATTTGTAGACTGATTTTGTATGACTATGAATTCCCCTCAGTTGAACCATGAACTCATCCTTCAGCACACAATAGATGTTAACTCCTTTCCTTCCTCTCTCCTTCCTCTTCTTCACAATTTGTTTACCTCTTGAAATCTCTGAATGTGCCTCCCACTTCTAATCAAAGCCTCTCTCGACTCTTTAGAATCGAATCAAGCCACTGTTATTTACTTTCCAAATAGTTCCTCTTCCTCCCACCCCAAACCTCTGCAAGAAGTACAAAAAGGAATCTTCTGAATGCCACAGCCTCATATTCAAAAGTCAGTCATTTTTTGAGACACCTGGAGCATTGACCAGTATCTCATATCTCAGCCAGAGTCTAGACCCATTATTGAATACTTGATTTCCATTCCTTCAAAATTGAAATAATTTTCTAACTTGCCAGTCTGCAGTCCTCTGAAAAAGGCTGAAACATTAACATTTAATATACTCTACCTATTTAAGAAGCTCTGGTAGCATAGTGAGTACAAATTGGGCTGTGAATCTCAAGGTCAGCTGTTCGAAACTACCAGCTGTTGCGTGGGAGAAAGATGAGGCTTTCTGCTTATCTGTATAAATCTGTAAAGATTTACAGCCTCAGAAGCCCTGTACAGGGTCGCTACGAGTCAGAACTGACTTGACGGCACTAGACAACAACATCTAGTGCTTTAGTCTTCTGGAGTGGCATTGTGGATCAGCAATGGACTGAGAGCCACATGGTCAGCAGTTCAAACCCACCAGCTGCTCCTTGGAAACCCTATATAGGGTGACTATGAGTTGGAACCGAATCAATGGCACTAACAACAATATCTAGCTTTAAGGAGCCCTGGTTGCATAGTGAGTTACGAGTTGGGCTGCTAACACAAGGTCAGCAGTCCACGAGACAAAAGTGACGCTTTCGGTTCCTGTAAAGATTTATAGCCTCAGAAACCCTATCCAGGGTGACTGAGTCAGAACTGAGTCCATCACACACCAGGACCACCTAGTGCTTTAAGTAAGGAGCCCTGATGGTGCAGTGGGGTACGTGTTGTTACACTGGTAATCACAAGATCAGCAGTTAGAGTCTACCAGGTACTTCAAAGGGAAAAGATGAGGCTTCTTGCTCCCATAAAGATTTATAGCCTATGAAACCCTATACAGGGTCACTATAAGTTGGAACTGACTCAACGGCACACAGTTAGCCAGTCATCCAGCCAGTCTTTTAAGGAGTTCTGGTGGTGCTGTGAGATAGACGATGGGTTGGACATCGCAACGTCAGCGGTTCAAACCCATCAGGAGCTTTGCAGGAGAAAGATGAGCTGTCCACTTCTGTAGAGCTCTACAGTCTCAGAAACCCTATGCAGGGTTGTTAACCACCTATGAGTTGGAATCGAGTCGATGGGAGAGGGTTTGGTTTGGGTTTACCTAGTGCTCTAAGTTCTGGTCTCCCTTTAATTATTCTCTTCTGACTACGTCTAGAGCACCAATGAGTCCATCTGGAGAGTACTTAACTTGGCATAAGAAAGGTAATTTAAGTCAATTATTGTTCAGGTATGGGATCACATATTGTTTCTTTTTGTAGTGATGCAGTATCTCCATGTAAGAATGTACAAGATATCATGTCATAAAACAGTCTGTTAATAAATTAAGCCACCTCTGTGAGTCTGAGGGAGTCCTGGTGTGGCGTTGCGGGTTAATGCACCAGACTGCAAAACCATTTGAACTGCAAGATCGGCAGTTCAACCTCACCAGCTGCTCCTCGGAAATCCTATACAGGGTCGCTATGGATTGGAATCCACTTGTTGGCACGTAACAACAACAACAACATTAGTCTGAGAGGGGGCCATGTGGTGCTATGGGATAAACACTTGACTGCTAACCACAAGGCTGGCAGTTTGAACCCACAAGCTACCCTGAGAAACCCTATACAGGGAAGGTATGAGTCGGAACCACTTGATGGCACACCAACAATATGAGTCTTAGGATAAGCACTAGACTGTGAAACGGTTTGGTGGTTTGAGCCCACCAGTTGTGCTGTGGGAAAAGACAAGGCTGTCTGCTCCCACAAAGATTTACAGCCTCAGAAACTGTACACAGACAAGGTCACAATGAGTCTTTGAAAGATTCAGTCCTCCTACAGTTCAAAAATCCAAAGGGGGCAATGTTACTAATTGAATGACAAACTAATCATAGAGTTGTTTCTAAAAATTTTTCAAAGAATATAAATAAGAATAGCATGTATTCAGTAATGTTTCTTTGTTACAGAAGCATACTGTTTCTAACACAGAAAGATACTAAAATCACAGCAGAAAAACTGAATTAAGTTAGTTAATTTCAACAGTTTGTTTCTGTTTTGTTAAGTTGGCTAGTTCCTACTTCCATCAACAATGAAAGCATTATTCAGAAAAGGCTATCAGTGTATGGTAAATGGAATGACCACAGCAAGTAAGGTAACAGGATGAAGAGCGAACCAGAGGAGGCAGTCAAAATAATTTTCTGTTATGGAGCCACAGATAAAAGAAAAACAAAGCATATGCATATACATTGTTGTTGTTAAGTACAGTCAAGTCAGTTCTGACTCACAGTGACCCTGTGTAGACTTCCAAGGAGTGACTGGTAGATTTGAACTACTGATCTTGTGGTTAGCAGTCCAATACTTTTCCCTACAGTGCCACATCAGAGGGCTTCAAAAAGTTTGCAGAAAAATTAAATGAAAACGAAATTTTCCATGGAAGTTTTGAAGCCCATTTATGTATAATCTTTGTATTCATAAATCCTTCTGCTATGAGTTAGTGTAGACACAATTTCAACTGATACTGATCCCATATGATGGAGCAGAACTGCCTCTAGAGTTTTCTAGACTGTGATTTTTATGGGAGTGGATCGCCAGGTCCTTCTCCCACAGAGTGGTTGGTGGGTTTGAACTGCCAATCTTTCAGGAAGCAACTGAATACTAATTGTTGTATCGCCAGACCGCCTTGTTTGGCCATTTAGGGAGTACTGCTAGATCTAGAGAATCCAGTGGTCTCTTTCTTCAGAAAAATTCATTTTAAATGTAAAATCCAAATTGTTATAACATGAAAAACTGTTCTAGGAATCAAGGATGTGGTCCAGTCCTAGATAGGTAACTACCAAGCTTTCAGCAGGTCTGTGTTAACAGCCAACTTTGGAGTAATGAAGCTGTCTAAAAGCACTTCTAAAATAGACTGAAAAATATAAGTAAATAAAAATTGAATTATCTAAGGATTTAGTTTGTTTAGATGTACTAGCAACCAGAGATAATTTAGAGCTGACTCAGAAACTCTTTTATAAAGAGTTGTTATGCGTCAGAACCTCCTCGGCATTTAACAACAATATTTTAATTCAGTTGGAAGCAATTGAAATGCACATTTTAAAATATTAAATGAATGTTGGCATTCTGGTAAAATTAATTAAAAAAAAAACTTACATTGTTAATTTCTATTAAAGCCATTAGTTTCCTTTCAATAAATCATGTTATAAAATCTGTAGAAGTCATCAAACTTACTGTCTGCCAAGATATTCTATATTCTTATTCAAAGATGCAAAAATATTCAAATCAACACAATTCAATTAACAAGTAAAATGATTTAACAAACACAATGTGATTGCAATGTGCTTACCTGGGTTTTTTAATCTGACCATTTTCTCTCATTTACCTAAAAATACTTTTTCCAAAAACCAAGGAAATATGAGTTAAATAATATTTTACTAGTTGAATTTACACTAAAAAACTTATTTGTATAATGCCAACTAGATAAAAACTGTTTGCCCTTTCCTTTGAATTACAAAAAGCAAGTCATTTCCCCTGTACAGTACTTGGTAACATACTTCAGTTCAGGTCGCCCACTGAAGAGTTCACTGCGGCTAAGTTCAGAAATCCCATTTCCAATAAATACTTTCGGTCCATCAAATTCTTTGGCTCCTTTCTTACATTTTCCTTTAATATCAGAATATACGGAAATAACATCTCCAGTTTTCATAACTAGAGAAAGAAGAAAGTCAGATTTAACAAAGAAGAAAATTAGATTAAGCTGATTTATTTGGGGGTAAATTTGATTTCAATCTATACTTTGTGAAAGAATTTAATGGTAAAAATTTTCTAAAGTAGACTAGCAGTTCACTGTCCTGACATAATCCTTATCCAAAAATCTGAATTTTAATCTAAAAATTTTCTCTAAAAATAAATCTACTTGAAGAATTTTTTTCAGGGAAAATAAAAAAAAAAACAGAATATATTTCAAAACATCCTACCTCAAATGGAATGCTTCAGTTGAAACAGAAATGAAGGGTCGTTGTTGTTGTTAGGTGCCATATAGTTGGTACAGACTCATAGTGACCCTATGCACAATAGAACCAAACATTGCCCGGTCCTGGGCCAACCTCACAATTGGTGCCATTTTGCCAATCTTCTACTAAATCATTTAAGATTTCACAAATCTTGATTATCTTTTACTAAATTCTCAAAGCTGTAAATTTGCAAGAAAATTCCTCAAAAATGTCCATTAAAATCTCTCCAAGAAATGTTTCTAAATCTCAGAGCCTACTGGTATTACTTTGTAGTTTTCTAGCTATAGCATTAGTTAAGGTGACATTTTAAAAATAAACACATACATTCTCTAATATATATATATGAGCTGCAAAGTGTTCATGGAAAAAATCCATTATATTTTCATTCAATTTTACCATGAACTTTTTGAAGTCCCTTCATATGTATATTTGGAATTGATTTATACAACTGATTAAATCTAGTTATAAATCATTTCTATTTTCAGTAACAAACCCTAGTGACATTAATAGTGAGAAACTGCATTCGCTCGCAAAAATTGTTTTCAGACCTAACCTGTTGTAAATTTGTTTAGTCGTTAGCCTGACAAACAACACGGAACAGCCTATCAGCTAGAGCTAGAAAGACTATTAAAATCACCCTGGGTCAACCAAAGTGTTATGTAAAGAGCTGGTAAATATTTTAATATTTGTAGGTGATAAGAAAGTCTCTATTGCATATTGTCCTTTGCATTTTTATAGCTTTTTAAAAATTTAAAAAATTCAAATATTGGCATGTGGTCATATAAAAGCAGACGATGGGCCATACTGTTAGCAGGCAGTAGTTTGTCAAACCCTGACACAGACCAAATTCTTTCTTTCACAGGCAAAGTAATTAAGGACCAGAGATTAAATAATTTTCTATTAAGTCTAAACTCACATTTCTTGATTTCAAGTACAATAAGGTACCAACTAATCATACTAATTAACTTATTAAGCATATGTTAAATACCATTAAGTAGGTGAATTAATTAAAAATACTATAGTTTCATCCAAATGTTAAGATGTTGTT